AAAAAAAAAAAAAAAAGAAGAAAGGGGCAGAGCTAGCAAATTTGACCGATTTCAAAGCTGTAACACCCTAAAGAAATTATGGTCTCAGAGTTTTGAGTAACAGATGTCTCTCTCTATTAAAATATTATATATTCCCATCCAGCTCCCAGTAGAATGTCTGAGAAATCTTTGATGACTAGTGCAATCTGTGAAGGTTACGCACTCGGAGGAAGGGACAGGACACACTGACGGTTTGCAGTGGTGGGAAGAGGATTCCATCCAGAGGTGGGAAGACAAGTAAAATGACTTCTTAGAGCCCCTTTCTGCTTTCCCACCCACCGCCTCCCCTGTCTCAAGCATCTGATCCCAGACCTATTTCAGAATCTCCTATCTCTCTGCTCAGCGGAAGCAGTGATATGACCTAATGTGATCTCATTCTAGAGCTAAATAAAACCATTGTGTGAGACCCAGCCCTGGCCTCTCCCATGCACCATTTCCTGAGCTCAGAAAGCTGAGGGAAAATGGGAGGGGGGCTGGGAGAGTTAAGCTAATGGAAGGAAAAGCAACACGATGACTGGAGTCCCAGTCTGAATTTCAGTGGGTGGAGGAGGGAATATTGCTAGGAGGGAGTTGAGGAAGCCTTGCTAAACCTCATCTCTTTGAGGGACAGAGTAAAAGTATTGGCATCATGGCATGAGGCAGGGTTAGTGGAGATGAGGATGTAAGGGAGAAACTGCCAGACAGATTTCATTTTCACAGAGGGCAGAGACCATGAATGAAATGACAGCGATGCTGGAAAAAGGGTAGATCTTGAGAAGAGGTCGGACTCCAGTTGGTCTGAGCAGGAGGAAGAAGGGTGAGTTACACAAAGATCTTCAGAGCTGAGGTGTCTGTCAGTAGGGCCGGGGTGACAGGACCCTAGCTCCAGCAGGAACACCTGCAGGGACTGAAGAAAACCAGAGGTCTCCAGTTCACTGCACTTCCTTCATCCTGCCAAATTCAACCCTGCAGGCCAGGCGCAGTGGCTCACAACTATAATTCCAGCACTTTGGGAGGCCGAGGCAGGAGGATCGCTTGGGCCCAGGAGTTTGAGACCAGTCTTGGCAACATAGCGAGACCTCATCTCTCTAAAAAATTTAAGAACAGGGGCAGTTCTTAAATCTGTAATCCCAGCACGTTGGGAGGCTGAGGCGGGTGAATCACCTGAAGTCAGGAGTTAAAGTCTAGCCTGGCCAACATAGTGAAACCCTGTCTCTACTAAAAATACAAACATTAGCCGGGTGTGGTGGTGCATGCCTATAGTCCCAGCTACTCTGGAGGCTGAGGCAGGAGAATTGCTTGAACCCGGGAGGTGGAGGTTGCAGTGAGCTGAGATCACACCACTGCACTCCAGCCTGGGCAACAAGAGCAAAACTCCATCTAAAACAAAACAAAACAAACATTTAAAAATTAGCTGCAGGCCAGGCGCAGTGGCTCACGCCTATAATCCCAGCACTTTGGGAGGCCAAGGCAGGTGGATTGCCTGAGGTCAGGAGTTCGAGACCGGTCTGGTGAACATGGTGAAACCTCGTCTGTACTAAAAATACAAAAAAATAAATTAGCCAGGTGTGGTGGCGTGCACCTGTAATCCCAGCTACTTGGGAGGCTGAGGCAGGGGAATTGCTTAAACCTGGGAAGTGGGGGTTGCAGTGAGCCGAGATCACACCACTGCACTCCAGCCTGGGCAATAGAGCAAAACTCCATCTCAAAAAAAAAAAAAATTTTAGCTGGATGTGGTGGCATGCACCTGTAGTCCTACCTACTCCGGAGGCTAATGTGGGAGGACTGTTTGATCCTGAGAGGTGGAGGCTGCAGTAAGCCTTGAAGCTTGAGGGTGACAGAGGAGAGAGACCCTCTCTCAAAAAAAAAA